TCGACTTTTTCCTAGACTTTGATCTCTTCCTTGAGATAACATCTTAAGTTTTCAATCTCCAAAGAGAAAAGTCTAGTATCCTCTATTGACGTACTGAAGCTATGCTCCAGCAATAAGACTTAGTCTCTCTGTCTCAAAGTCGAATTACTGAGTGGGAGACAAAAGCCAAGGACAATGATATGTTAGCAACCTTTGAATAGAACATTTTGATTTGGACTCGAAAAATGGACAAACTGCAATAGAAGATTGAAGCGACAGAGAAAGAGAAAGTTGATATTGATGCCTCATAATTGGCTTTTATCGAAAAGAAGTTGGTTGGAGAGGCCAATGCTGGAATCAAACATGCTAAGACTTTTCGTGACGTGGAGAATGAGGTGAATAGGGTGAAAGTTGAGGATTCTATAAATGAAAAAAGGATTCGACGTGCCAAACTACACTTTGAAAAGATGAAGACTTCCATTTTAGCATCACATCTTCCTGTATGTTGTCACTCCCCTGATATTTTAATTTCTTGCAGCATAGCCTTATACTTCTTTAAGTATTTTCCTTTCGATTTCATAAGTGTTATTTTAAAATACTTTATTAATTCGAAATTGTCTTTTCCAATTTGGTGACCATTTGTCTAAAGCTCCACCTTTTCCGTCCATAGGCATAATTACCTTCCAGACATGGTCAGTGACTAAGAAATCCTCCGACTTAACCTTTTTATTATAAGCCTTAGCTATTCATTCTTTATGTCTAATAAGAACTTTTAGGGAAGCTAACCTTTCTTCGTCTAGGTCGACTAACTCGTCCATCATCATATTTCAATAATGGTTTAACGAAATCTTACATTTCCTTTGAATTCTTACTGACTGTAAATATATTTCATAAGGCAAGACTGCATCATGGTCAAACATCATTTGAAAAGGAGTAGAGTTAGTTGTTTCCTTAGGAGACGTTCAACAAATCCAAAGTGCTTGGTATAAGGTATTATGCCAATTATTTGGCTTTTGACCCACATGTCTCTTAATCAGACCAATTATGATCTTATTGTCATTTTCGACTATTTTCTTGAGCATAATAAGGAGTATAAGTTAGAAGTTTGATTCTTGAGTCTGAAGAAAACTCAATCATTTTTCACCCCATAAAGACTTAACCTTGGTCAGTGCTTAAGGTTTTAGGAATTCAAAACTGCAAATGATGTGGCTCTTAAAAAAATTGATCACAATATCTTGAACAACATTCATTAGTGACACCGCTTCAACCCATTTGGTAAAATAATGTATACCTACTAAGATGTACTTATGACCTTTGGATGATGTAGGTCGAATTTCAACCTCTAAATGGTCAAGGCTTAACAATTGAATGCAATTTGCTGGCAGAGACATGTTGGATCCTTGCATGCTTTTGGCATTCTTCACACCCTTTGGAAAATTCTATGTAGTATTTCAACATAGTTGTCCAATACACGCCTTGCTAAAACAAAAACCACTTCATTTTACGGTCTGCTTGGTGGGTGCCACACGATCCACTATTGACATTAAAAATTGGCAAATATGCTTCAATTTCACTAAGGTATTTCGAAAGAACTCCTTATGGGGTATTTTTAAACAATTCATTGCCAATAATAGTATATCTTAATGCTTTATACTTTATCTTTTAATATATTGTTCCTGTTGAGTTTTCCAAAAAAAATATATGATTGTCTTTCGCCAATCATTGTTCAACAAAATTTCAAAATTTCAGGATTTTACAAGTGTTCCAACCCATCTACCCTCACCAGTTTTGAGTTTGACAATTCTAAGGGAATAATATTGAGCGAAACCACCAGTTTTTACTTTGACAATTCTAAGGGAATAATATTGAGCGAATCCAACTTTTCTTTCACTTCGATTAATTTTTCTAATTTCTCTTTGGAGACTTTATATCCTGAAGAAATCTGAGCTAAGTCATTAGCTTATTGATTCTCTAGTCGAGGAACATGATTGATGTCGACTGAATAAAATATTTTTGAAAGTGATTTGGATGTGACGAAGTACATAAGTAGATTCTCTTTAATGCATTTATATTATTTCGTTAACTACTTCATAACCAATTATGAGTTGCCTTTGATTTTGACTGTTTTTTCCACTTATATTTGAAATGAACCTTTTTAAGAAGTTTATATTTCCTAGCAAGGATTGGAGTTGAATATGAAATTTGGTTTCGTGCTGGTTGATCTCTATGCCCTTTTACTGGACCACAAAGCCTATAAAACCACTTGCATGAACATCAAAACACACTTTAATTGATTCATTTTAAGTTCTTGTTCCCTCATCCTTTCAAAGGATTGTCAAAGGTGGTCTAGATGATCATTTTTTTAACGAGGATTTAATCATTATGTCATCAAAATATACTTACATAAAGGTCTCAATGAAATCATGAAACATGTGACTCATATCCCTTTGGTATGTTGCACCAGCATTCTTTAGGGCAAAAGCCATTACCACCCACTCATAAGTTCCTAAGGCTCCAGGATATTGAAAATTCATTTTCGAAACATCTTCCTCTATAATAAAGGTTTGGTTATATCCAGAATTATCATCTAAAAGACTTAGATACTCAGAGCCTGCAGCTGAATCGGCTAGCATTTCTGCCACAAGAATCGGGTATTTCTCCTTTGGAGTGGCAACATTTAGGTCTCTAAAGTCTATATAGACTCTAAGAGTCTCATTCTTTTTAATTACAGGAACATTATTTATAAGTCATTCAACACACCTGACACTTCTTATTAACTTATTTCTGAGCACCCTTTCGATCTCCTCTTTTATCTTTGACATTATTTCTAGTGAAAATCTCCTTGGTGTTTGCTTCACCGGTCTCTTATCAGGTTGAATTGATAACTTCAATTCCATCAACTTATAGTGAGCCCTGGAATTTCATCATAGTCCTAGGTGAAACAGTTTTTGAACTCTCTTAGCAATTCAATCATCTGAGATTTTAGACTTGGCTCAATCTTGATACTAATGAAAGTTGGCCTTTCGATTGTACCATTCCCTAAATCGACCTCTTCTAGAACGTCTATAGTGATTGAAACTCAAAAATAGAGTGAGTGGTCTATTAGCATGATTTGTACAGTATGTAGTGTCCAATGACACCACGTTACCAAAATATCAACAGTCTATAATCATGTTTGCATCGCACAAAAACACATTTGTGATTTGTTCTTCTTCATTCACCTGATATGCTTGAAAAACTAGATTCTCTAACAATTGTCGTTGAAAGTATTGTGAAAGACATCTAGCATCACCATACACCATACTTTTTTGTCTTCTTGCCTTGAGATAATTTTTTATATCCAAACCGGTATAGCCAATATTAGAAATGTGTCCCACATGTGTGTATAAGTTGAAATGTTGACTTCTGTCTTAATCCAAAGTCATAAACTAAATCAATTTCTAATGCTCGGACCTCAGTTATTTTTCTATGTGATGCTAGCATGTGTGTAGTCTCTAGTTGTTGCAAAGATTGATTAGGATCATATATGAATTCATGAATAACAAATTTTTCTTTCTTAAATACAATAGAAATTATGTGTAAAAAAAGATATAATAGAAATCTTTGCTTCGTATTCAATTCTGATTTCAGCTCTATGATTACTAACTAAAGCATCTTTTTGTCTCTATGTTGGAGTCCTTCCTTGCAACAAAAAAACTTGCATGATGATATAGAACCGATTTCTTTATTCTTGTTCACATAATTTTTTCTAACGCCAAAATCAACATGTAGTTGTCTCTGAATCAAATTCTATACCAATAATTGGCTTCTAATCATATTTGTATATGTCGTTTTTTATCATACTTAAAAGAACCTGAAATTTTGAATAATATAGTTAAATAATATAGTTGAATAACATAATTACATATACATGATTAGAAATTAAATGCAATGAGCTTTGTTTTGTCTAATTGATAAAAAGGAGAAAAACCATAATAACAAAAACAACTTTGATGAAAAAAATTGAAGAGAGAGACCAGAAACAACAACTTTAAAACATTTCTTGCTTAGCAACTTTTTTAATATTTCATTTTTCCAGCACTTAAAATTAAAATTAACAAATCAAACAATAATAGTAACAGAGAAATAAAAATCTTAAAGAAGCTTATTATTTTATCATTAGATGAACATACGTTCAGTTATTTCTTCAATCAACATATAAGGAATGTTAGAAATTAAAAAAAATTCAGACAAAAGACACCATGATGAGAGGAAGAGAAAACAGTGTATCGGCGGTAGAAGGCGATTATGGTGGTCGACAGCAATACGGCAGTGACAGCGATACAGTAGAAGACGGCGTCGATGAAACTAGAAAGGAAGAAGTTATTGATCAGTGTTCTTTTTATACTATATTTAATTTATTTGCTAACTAATATTGTTTGAAAAATGTTGAAAGCCACTAACATTCCCGCGTGAACGTTAAGAGAATCCGTTTGAGTATTCCCCTTCTTTAAGCCTATAGTTTCTACACATAAATACAATCATAATGGAGGCAGAGGAATGAACCTCTCCCATTTGCTTCACTGGCAAAGTTGAAAAAACACGAGTTTCCAGAATCGATTTTAGGAGGAAGAATCACTGAAGTTATCACACCCAAACATCCTCTTACAACAACAACAATTAAGCCTTAACTCAAACAAAATTGCTCACCACAGTCAATGCACATCAGATGCTACGTGAAATCCAAACAAGTACTTAAATAATCTGATTTAATTGTTCACATTGTATGAATCCCATCTCAATAAAACACTAAACTTTTAAGTTAGTATGAACATCAAAATTAATATTAAAAAGAAAAAAAATAACCTTAAAAAGAATCCAAATCTCTGTTCTAGAATATGTCTAGGTCTGTCAAAATTCAAAAACCTTATACAAGTGTTTTGCTCCACCACAACATGCTATAAATGACAATCTGGCGTTTGTAGAGTACGGCCCACTGTCTTCGAGTACTTATACATGGGGTGTGCCGAGAAAGGCTTTGCTTAACAGAAATCTTTAACCTCAAAAATACGGGCTGTATGATCTAAAGACGCCGAGACAAGGTACTCACGATTAGCAGACAAAGAAAGAGTTTGAATGCCTTCAGAGTGCCCTATGAACATTTTGACACATTCACCAGACCGGCTGTCCCATAATCTCACAGCTCCATCCATAGATCCAGTAGCCACATATGATGCACCAAGCCATGTCAAACATGTTACTCCATACTGTTCAAAATAGAAAATTCCGTTTCATCAGACATAAAAAAAGAAAACACAATTCCAAATAAAAGCATAACTGCGGAAAGTTCATTCAGTTTCTAATGCATAAGCATGTTACTTGCGCAATGAAAGATTCCAACAAACCTCGTGGTCACAAGTGCTTCGGGCTAAGGAATACTCCATATCCCAGATGGTCATTTTATCCATGCCTCCAATTAAAGCCCAAGTACCACTGTCATATAGTTTTAAGGAACAAAGTTATTGATGGCTTGTATTAGATTAGGAGAACAAGGTCTAAATCATCATTACATTAAAACAAAAATGCAGTTATTGAAATGTTGAGATGATTTAGATGAACGAAATTCAAAGCATGATGAAAAAATGCCTATAACTTTCACTTATGCAAACTAATCATATTTAAAATTTAGGTCACTTTGTAGTCTATCCGTCGTCCTTAGTAATGAGATGCAATTACTTTTGATACTTGTGTTATGCAGTAAATGAAGTGACTGACGGTTATATCAAATAAGTTCAATAATATATTGTGATGATTTATGAGTTCTGACACTTGGTTTGGTTTCATATTTATTATCGGGGCCCTAGTATTTTAAAACATTACCGGATGCTGATTCTATGTTGATTGTCACTGACAAGCTTATTTTTACTTGTTACAGTAACTCTAATGCAGGACAATTTTTCTTTGCTTATTTATGTCACTGTCCTTCAAGGCTTGAGCAATCTCTGAATAAATAAAACTTCAACCAAACACATGCATGATCCATCAAGCATATGTGATATGAAAATGTGCACGCGTACACGCAGGTTATTAACAGTTTACTAATCATATGAAAAGTTTACTAATCTTAAAACCTACCTTGGTGCGAACCCAACACACTCAATGGAACTTGAATGAGATGGCACAGAACTAACAACCTGCCAATAAGATACAATGTTTCTTAGAAATCAGGCAGAAAGCTAAATTTATATGCTCAAACCTTGTCCAGTTAAAGTTGCAATATGCATAGACAAATGGAACAATTAGCACAGGGATAAATGATATAAGTTTGAAGCCATGCTTAGTAGTTATATTTTCGGGTGAGATACAACCCAAAAACTGTAGGGTCTATTACCTAACCAAGGATCTCATCTAATGTGAGTCTCAATAATCATGTGTAGCAAATTTTAGAAAAATAAGAGACACAAAAGGATTCTCAAAAATAGTGAGACATCATACCCAAAAGACATACACGAACATATGATTATAGAAAATAGCACATTAAATATCAAATGTAGTGAAAGTACATACTCTTCCGGTAGTGATATTCACAAAATGCACAGATCCATCCAGGGAACCAGTAAGAGCAATAGTTGAAGTCGAATTTATTGCTAAACATGTTATTCCCTCAGTATGGTATGGATGACCTAGAAAAGTAAAGGTTAACAAAAGGAGACAAATATGCAAATACAACAATAACACCAACAACCAATTCTTATTACCTCGCACAATATGAATGCTTTCTCCAGATTTTGGGTTCCATATTCTCAAGGTTGCATCGTCAGAACCAGTACATATTATTCTCCCTAAGGTACCAAGTGAAAGGAAATAAAAAAGGGTAAAAAATACAAAAATGTAAATCATAACAGTTAAATGAGTGTAGCCAAAGATAGATTACTACCGTCGGGAGTAAATTCACCACATGTGACACTGCTAGCATGACCATTAAATGACATAAGGAAGGCTAAATTATCCGTATTCCACATCCAAACAGTGGAGGAATCATCAAAACCAGCAATGAGCACGTTTCCCCTGGGATGCCACCTGAGCCACTGAAAAGATTTAACAGCAACTAATTTAAAAACTACATAAAGCAAAAAAGGCAAGAAAAATAATTTTTACAATATTACCTGAACACCCCCTTCAGGTCCATCAAGTGTGCCTTTCAGGTTTCCAGCTGCATCCCAGATTTTAACAGTTCCGTCAAAACTTCCTGTTGCGAGAAACTTTCCATCGTGGCTAAAACCTAAACTAGATACAGAATCGGTATGACCTGCATAAAATCAATGGCGAACTCATTAGGAGATTGCAAGAAACAGAATCTTGTAACCTTATCAATTGTCATGCCATACATGCCACACTTGTACTAAATAGTAAAAATCCACCCATCAATAGCTTTGTATGACGCAAATACTGGTATGGGTTTGAACTGCAAAGGAGTTATATACAACACTTCCCAGACCCTCTAACAAACTAACCATTAATATATGCCTTTCAGAAGAAGAAAATAATACCATTAAGTTCAAAAGCCCAATCTCCATTGTTGATCTGCCAGAGAAATCCTTTATCATCACCACCTCCTGTTGCCACCAGTGCCATATCCGTTGGGCTGCATGCAGCTGCGTATAATTCCCCTATACAACAATCCAAGAAATCTCAGACACTTTCAAACCCTAAATTTAATTCCAACCAAGTAAAGGCTCAGAACAACCAGGACATCACAAAAAGAGTAGAAATCTCACCAGTATGACCGGTGAATATGTGATCAGAGTCATCAACCTCCTCTGTAATATTTAAAACAACACTACTATCAAATTTTCTTGATTCTAACATCATCGAAAGCATAACACAATACACAAGTAACTTAATAGAGTTAGGGTTTATACCAATTTCGGAATCAGAGTCCGAATTGAAGTCGCGAATAGAGTCACTAGCTTCTGGAAGAACTTCATCGTCCAAGGCAACTTCGTGGATGATATCAGAGTCGTCAAGAAAAACATTATTGTTGTCTTCTTCATTATCATGAGCATGTGAATCACCCATTGTATTGCTATTTGCAAAATTATCAACCTAAAATTTTCAACTCTCTAAACCTATGGACAAATTTGTTGAATAACTATTAAATTCCAATTGCTATTTGTTGTTATAACATTGGAAGTGAAGTGAAAGGGGAAAACACTCGTTTCGAAATCTTAGGACGACGGAGGCGGCGAGCTGTCGTTGGTGAGTTTCGAAATCTTTGGATACTTTAACTACTAGTTTTCACAAAAAATAAAAAGAACAAGTACTGTGCAAACCTATTTTAAGTTGGTGAGTTTTTAAATAAAATTCTTTCTAATAATGTATCCATTTATAGCATCCTGGGAGTAAACTAAATGGGTAAACTAAGATATTTTTGTGAGCCCAAAGTGTTTTGTAGGATTTAAAAAATTTATATATGATTTGAGTAGTTTTTACTTTAATGATGGTTGTCTATCAGAAACCAAAATTTGACCCCACATTTTATATTTTTTATTCAAATTACCATTAATTTAATTATTTTAATTAAAATGTATACAATTTTTTTAATAAAATTTACCTTAAAAACTTAGAAATAATATTAAATATATTTTATCATAAAATTAAAAATGATACAAAATTCACAACAATAATAAATAAAAATAATTACATTTTCATAGAAATATAAAATAAGACATGACAAACTAACTTTCGTTGTTCTCATGACCAAATAAGATTGTAAATAATTATAATAAGGATTTCATTGGTCGGAATCCATTTGATAAATAAATAAGATTGGAAATGGAAAGAAAAAATTTTATAAGTAATATTGTGTGTAAAAAAAATTAAAGTGTAAAAAGTGATAATATGATCGTTACTATTTTCAAATATCATGTCATTACTTTAATGTTGTTGGAATATTTTATTAATTAAATAAATAATATTATAATATATTTCACTAGTTAACGTTAATTATATAGCTAATGGGAATTAAATTTTAGTTCACTTAGATGTCATGTCAGCTCTACTCCAATGCAAATTTTTTATTACTAACGTAAGCTACAAAGAATTTTGGTTTAACAACCCTACACTAAAGTTGTTCTTAGTGAATTGAATTGGATTGAGATTTTTAAAAAAATTTAATAAATCATATAATATTTAATTAAAATAATCATGATTTTAGTGATTTTTAAGTTGAATCTATTAAAGAATCGTCACCGTTATTATTCTTGCTCAACTATGTGTTTTTAGTGAATTTGTTAGTGTTTTGCTAGCAATAGGCTAAAAACAAAGATCTAAGATGTATGATTTATTTTGCGTGTGGTATGAACTGAAAATGAGATGATTTGGGTTATTTGCTAGTAGTGCTTATTCGATCTTTCTTATATTTGCATCATCAGCATCTGAATAACAAGTAACCATAGGTTCTTTGCTTTCAAAGTCTTGTCGAAATAAAATTCCATAGTTTGTCGATCCTTTTAAGTATCTCAGGATTCTTCTTGCATCCTTCAAGTGTGACACTCTTGGTTCACTCATGTATCTACTCACTAATCTGACTGAAAAACATATATCAGGTCGACTGTTGCACACATATCTTAGAGATCCGACAATCTGTTTGAACAAAGTTACATCGAATTTGTCTTCCTCTCCATGATTCTCCAACTTTAAATTTGGTTCGATAGGAGAAGATGCAGGAGTCAAAACATCCATTATGAATCTCTTGATTATCTCTTTGACATACTTTCTTTGATGTAGCATCATGCCTTGCTTCGACATTTGAAATTCCATGCCTAGGAAGTATGACAACTTTCCCATATCTGACATTTTAAATTCCTTCTTCATCGGCATTTTAAACTTCGACGAGCTCTTCAGACTATTTCCAGTTTTAGGGTTTCAAGATTGTTGGATTCTTGAATAGTTATGATAACATGATTAAAGTGAGAGGTCAAAGTACACATTACCTTCTCAACTATCATCTTATCAGTAAGGGTTTCACCACACATCTTCATGATATGGACGAGTTTATGCACCTTTGACACAGAGCCTACAATCTTTTCATCTTCTCCTATTGACAACAAATCATATTATCATCGCAAAGTTTGCAACTTGACAACCTTAACTTTCCCGCCTCCTTCATAATACTTGACAAGAATATCCCATGCCTCCTTCGTCGATTCAGCATGAGCGGTTCTATCGAAATTAGATGCATCAACTGCCGATTAGATGTAGAACGCCGCCTTGCAATCCTTCTTCTTGGCATCCTTGTTGTTAGACGATGGCACGGATCTAGAAGGGGGGTTAAATAGATCCCTGGCTTAAAAGTGTCGGCGCTACCAATAAAATTGGTTTTTAAAAATTGTTTAATTTGCGAAAGCTGGCCGAGGAACTATACCGTCTATAACGAACGGTTACTAGAAACCGGATATGCGTCAAGCCTATGGAATCCGATAACGAGTAATGAGAATCACTACGCTAGTCACACTATCAATTTGATTTAGCTCAGTATATGGTATGACTAGTTCCAATGCCTTAAAATACTCAACAATAAATAGGCAGCACACAAGGCTTTTGGTTCAGACAATTTATCAAACACTTGGCGTGCAGAGCACAACAAGTGAGTTCCGCTTTGAGTGAGTAGCTCAAGTTTCCTCGTACAATCAATGATTGTACTAGATTCAAAATCAGTTTAGCACTACTCAAAACAGACCTAGATTGATATAATTGTTTGCACTAAAACCACAAATATTAAGCAATGTAAATGTAAGGCAAAAGACACAATGATTTGTTGAGGCAGTTCCCCCGTCGTCCTCGCTTCAGGGTACGTCTGCCCTCAATTCTAATAATAGAATTGAGACCTTATAATATAAATTTAACCTGTTGTAGAATTGTATATACAAGACTTGAATAGTAATCAAACAAATGAACACCCTTGTTGTTGTAGATGCTATCTCCTCTTGCCCCTTGATTCGAGTCGAATTAAGTCCTTCGACAACTTGTGAATAAACCTCCGATTGCGGCTCTATGTTTGAACAACCTTCCATCTTCAAAACCTGGGCCGGCTGATTCCAATCACTCGCGTGTCGAACCCAAAACTCTCTTTCACAATCCTTCGCTTACCGTTACTAAATCGAAGGAACCCACCGCTCCTCGATTACCTTCACTCGACTGAATATGTGTTGAGAAGAATCGTGCAAAAACCCCCAAATTTAGAGAATCTTGAAGGACAAAACCCTAGAGGTTTTATTCAAGAAAAACTTGTCAATTCCTCAACCCGAACTGGATTACCCAATCAGCGGCTTTGAATATTATCACCTCTAACAATGCATAATGCACAAAAAAGATTATTGTGTGTGATTGTTGTGGTATGCTATGAAGAAGATGAAGATGATGAGAACTGAATTGACACCTATTTCACTTTTCTTGTTTTTCTCAATTGATTCATTTGAATTGAAAAGAGCAACTGAATATTTATACCAGACAAAACTGCTATAACTGATAAAACCACTTTCCAAAAATAATAAACATTACAGAAAAATAGCATAAAACAACGAGCAGTCGATCCATGCAGAGTGCAGGGTCGACCTGAGCTAACCTGAGAAAAAGATTGTGCAAAACACACAACCATGCGCCGACCGGAACAAGTTATGAGATACATATTTTGACATCTCTATATGCAACACCCGAGATATTTTATGCAAGAAAATAAGTCATGAGAAACAAGGTATGCACATGCAACATGGTGATAACGCCTAACATCGATTTTTCTATGAAGCTAAGTTTTGACATCATCGAAACAAGCATATCTTGTATATGAGGCTTTGCCCTTACACTTGTGAGCGATTCTCTGTGCTTCGGTTGCATCTTCATCAAGCGCAGGAACGCCATTAGTAACCACTTCTAGAATTTCATGAAAGCCAAATAGAGATTGCATATGTTTTCTCTGTCGAAGCCAATTCTTGCCGTCAAGAGTTGGAAAAGAGTTTGGAAAATTTCTGTTACCATTCATATTTGCAATGATTGATCAACAATAACCCACGATCCCGAAAACACGATATTTCTCACGTGTGACTCTTGAAAACATGATCAAGAATCTAATCGGAGCTCTGATACCAATTTTTTAGTGCGTGAGGCACTTTTAGTGAGGAGATAAAGAGAGAGAATAAGGAAATAAGGATTTTATTGAATAAATTATTACAAATAATGATACATACTATGACTATTTATATACAACCATAATTAGGCTTAGACTAATACAACTTGAATTATATTTAAATATTAAATCTAATTAAATTTAATATAATTAAATCTAATATTTCAACAATTTTCATCTCTACGAGATCAAAGATGTAATGGATGAGAAATAAATATGAAGTTCATATAGACTAGTATCAAATAGAAGATGTTTGGCCTTATAAATGTGAGATATTGCAGAGCACCTACAAGGCTACAATAAAGAGATTGATTCTCATATGGAATGTTAGTTTTGGTGGTTAGCTTTGGTTTTGTATTAACGAGTACAAAAATGTTACTTATGAGAATATAGAGTTAAAATAACTTTGTTCTTTTGGGTTTGTTTGTTTTTAGGTTAAAAAATATATTTGTTCTTTGTATTTTTAAAATATATTTTTATGAAAATATTTTTATTAAATAAGTGCGAGAAAAGGTGGTCAAGGTCCCCAGCAAGCCTACTTCCGCATAAAATTTATCTTTCCATTTATGACAGCTTGATCCATTATGATTTTCCTCCTGGAAAGTGTCAAAAGGATAGTTAATACTTTATATGATCTAAAGCATTTTCAAATGATTATGAAACCGCCTCAAAGGTGGAACTCGTATAGTCAGTAAACTTATGGGTTAACAAAGCATTATGGGAGCGCAAGAGCTTTAATTCCTTGTGAGCAGCACCCACACTTCTTTGAAGAATATACAAAGTTTAATCTTTCATCTCCACGGTCGTCACCAACTGATTCCCTTGGTCGGAAAGAGGATCGGTGAACTTCAATGAAAGCAAAGCATCCTTCGTCCTGGAAACAGAGGTAGATGTT